AAAGTACAAAAATAGAAAGAAAGAAATAGAAAGAAAAAACTTTCTAAGTCAATCCTTCCACAATCCTAGGAATATATACAATTCTATTTTCATATCTGAACCAGTAACCCCACGTTTTCCAACACATGCTTTAAGGAACTAAATGTAAAGGGAGGAGCAATGGCCAGCCTCACTAGAAGAATGCATAGATTCTATTCTGCAGATGGTTGGCATATTGTACATATTCATTCTTTTGTTCAATTAGTAAAAGGGTTAATTACTTAAACATACCTTGTGGTTTCACTAAACCACTTGAATATATACCCTGTGGTTTCCAGAACCACTTATACTCCATGGGGTGGTCCCACTCTCACTTAACACAAATAGCCCCTCCATTTGTGAAATGTTTTGGGCCGTTTGCACTAGTCTAATAATTTTATTAAAATTCCAATTTTACCCCCCCCCTTTCTTGTTTCTTTGAGATCATTCAGTAGAGGTTACTGCAGTGATCTAAAAGGCGTGCCTAGGCACACAGGCGAGGCACATTTTGGGGTATGCACGTCGCCCAAGTCCTAGAAGCACCCCTTTCAAAAGGCACACGCCTGGTGCGCCTCAGCCCAGGCATGTGCCTTTTTAAATTTTTGCGCTTTTTTGCTGTTTTTTGAGTCTAATGCCTGGGCCGAGGGCTCTACCCCCGGACCCCCAACCACACCCCTCGAGGCAAGCCTGAACAAGTCTATGTTAGGGTCTGAAATTCTTATTTCTCACATAAAAAATAATGATTTTATAACTTTCATATCAAGTAGCTAAATTAAAAGCATACATTTAGTGAACCAAACAAGCAGAGAGCATTTCCTAAGTGGATAATTATTATCCAGGTAAAATGCCATGGCATTGCTTCTGCACTGTGCATTAAAGAAAAAATACTAGGTCTCCCACAGTAATTATTCCACACAAATAATCTGTGGGTGCTAGTTAAATATACTCTCTTACCATGTTTGCTTTATACTTCTCTAATAAAGCATTTAGTCCAATTTTAGTATTTTTAATCCTATTAATTAATTTCTTTTATATATTGACATTTTAAATAACTGAAAGGAGTTGTGATGCTTTTACACTTCAAGAGGATTATCAAAGCAACCATCCCCCTTTTCCTGTGATACACAATACCAGCATTATCATAGGACATGGGACAAGTGAGAAGTATTCATCAAGTGTTCACTAGTGTCTGGCAATGTCAACCTCTAAAAATCATGACATGGCCATCCCATAAAATGAACAAGTTAAAACAAAAGCAAAAATATGATAAAAAAGTATTTGCACATTATGGGACATGCAGATTCCCATCACACCTAGTCCCTAAATGCCAGCATCTCCCCCTACCAACCAAGAAAGGAAAAATAAAAAAAGGACTTCATCTTCGGGCACTATTTTCATAAGTTCATCTTTGGGCATATCAGCATGCTGCAATAACTTAAGTAACAAGTGTCAGCACTGCAAGATTATTTTCTAAGGTGTCCTGGTAATGCTACAAGTGTCACATAGTCACTAGACAAGAGTGAATAATGCCATGAATAATAGATTCCCAATCCAACATGGAGCAAAAAAGTTTGCTGACTGCAAGCATATAGAATCACCATACTAATACTATCTGTAGGGGAAATTCTATCGTGGCCCCAAATAGTTTCTAAGTATTACCAATTTTCAGTTAAACTCCCATATGATTTTTCTGAAGATCATCAGTTTCAGTGATAATATTTCCCTAGATATTGCACCTATAGCCTCAGTATAGGATTAATCATGGTTCCTAAAGCAATCATTTTTGCATTCAATGGATGTCTTAACAGTCTGCTTAGAATTGTTTCTAGCAATTGCTAAAGCTTTAATATCATACTAGTACTTAATTCTTTCTGTCACATCAATTTTGAACATGGCTCATTAGAGGAGAAGCCTAGTAAGAAATTTATGTGGAAGAAAAAGTATATATATATATATAAAATTTACCTGGAAGAAAACAGCTTCCCCATGATTACATTGTGCACATCGAACAGATTTTGTACGAGGAAGAGTTGGATCCGCAGCTACATCCTGCAATACCTGAGTGCGCTCACCAACAGAATGATGTATCTCGTTTCTGTAGACACAGTTGTTATCAGCAACTTCCTGCAATAAAAAAGAAAGGCTTCATCAGTTACTCCATTGTCCTCCACATATACAGGAGCTGATCCCAGGTACTCTACTTGACTGCACTCAAAACGTAGTTTCTATATGAGAATTTATTTTCTAGCATGGAAATCAATCCTGCTAGAATACTACGTAGATTTTTTAGAGAAATATTAAATTTTTCTTTAGTTGATACATATTATACATACCTAAAGACACACCTCTTCCCTAAAAACAACATAAAATCATGATGTATGGTAAGATTCTGAAAGAACTGTAATGAAAATTATCAACAAGACATCAATCATTAGCACTTTGGTGCAAAAGCTGAAAATGTAGAGCCGATTCAAGAAGAGGAACCATGGTAGTTGATAGGAAGGCAAGAAATATTGTTGGTAAAAGGCTTGAATCATGCTTGTCAAGTTGAGTTCTCTTTACATCTTTTGGCCTTACATTTAATACATTTGGTACTAACTTATAAGCCCCTATGGTTGAGCTGGAGGCAATGAACTTTGATGGTACATCAGCACATTTTGAGACTTCAGCAGCAAGGAGCAGGGGAAAATGATTCTCAAAAGTGTCAACTGACCAAAAATATCAATACTTGTAGTGTCTAAATGGGGTAACAGTCATTGGCTAACTATGTTATATATTTAGTGTTGCCACAGAACTACTTTTTTATATAGAAGATAAGCTTGGAGGTTATGGAACATTGGAACCATCACCTGACCTTGAAAATAAATTATAAAATTTACAATGATGCACATATACAGCAAAAAGAAGTTCATCACATTGAAGTGACAGGAATACGTATACAATCTTCAGAAAGAAAATGAAAACCTGCTATAAATCAACGAGTCTAGGAAGTCATCAGAGTCATGATAATAGCGTCCATCTTTAGGAGTGAAAAGGTTTTGTAGTGAGAGCTGTACAATAACCACAAGCAAAAGGAGAATGTCTTTATAGTTGGGACAAGGCATGGGTAGAAGTAAGAAAATAAGAAATGAGTTAACACTAATTATTTAATAGTGGATATGGCATTAAATAGAACAGAATGGCAAAATAGGATTCATGTAACCGACCCCATATAGTTGGGATAAGGCATGGATGTTGATGATAAAAAGGTTTCTGTGACTAAGGTTGAAACTCAGGCAATATGAAAAGAATTAAGAGGTGGCAAGAAAAACGGGTATTGAACAGAGTCTAGCTTCCTTTTTTTGGGTATTCAGTGCTATGCACCATTAACAACTTCCCCCCTGACCCCCTTTTCCCCAAAGTGCTGGTTGCAGGATTTGATTCCACATCAATGCTGGAACAAACCAGCTAACACACCAACGAGCCAGCCCTCGGTTGGTTGAGTCTAGTTCCCTTAATGCCAAAGGAGAGTGTCTTTATCGAAACACACAAGAAAATCATAGTGGAAACTGGAACATAAAGCTGAAAAAGGAATTTGGCTTCAAGCTAATGACAAAGCCTTTCTTCCTGATAGAGATACAGAGACTATTTGATTCATGGATAATGTTCAGGTCATATAAGTTGGTAAAAGTCAATCTACATAATTGAGAAAGGCAAGTAGGCGAACATTTGGTATCCATAAAACTCCGCTTTGGACATATTACATGATAACTTTTCTTGTAAGGTACCGATAGCACACCCAATTTTCTCTACCGATAGATCTATGGTTCCTAGGCCTGATGGATTCACAATGGCTTTCAATCAAGATTGTTGCGAGATAATTAAAAATGACTTGATGAAAGTGTTCAAGGAATTCTATAGAAGGGGAGTGATCAATCCAGGGATGAATTCAACATCCTTAGCATTGATCCCAAATAAGCTAGGAGACTTCAAACCTATAAGCTTAGTGACTAGTATCTATAAGGTAATTGCCAAGGTATTGTCTCTAAGGCTTAAAAAGGTGCTCCCCTCTATTATTTCC